TTTATGTTTATCACGTACACAACTAAAAAGCTATATTCCATGTCAAAAATTCAAAACTTAATTATCGGAAAGCTTTGCTGCACGAACATGCTTGTGCTGGCTTAATCACCTACTTCTCAAGATAGAATTCATACATCATTTACTTATGTTGCTTGGTGTTTGCATGGGGGTCTTTGTTCGTTGCGGTTGTGTATTCTGTTTTGGTGTGGCTCTGGTGCTTGCAATAAAAACACGGGGCCGTAGTCAAAAGACTACCATTTGCACCAGAATTCTGACATATATCGTTGTCAATTTTGTCATCATTTGGTAGGTGCAGAAATTTCGAAAACGATTCTGTGACAAATAAAATGGATAGTACCTATATGATGCACACACTTTTGAGGAACTGAACTCGGATTAAACATATCGAAATCACCTGGCGTGAATGATCTAGCAAGCTCGACTTATAAACAACAAGATACAACCTAGAGTGTGCCAAGCAGCCACGGCGTGTGGGATCATGTTTGACTTGGAACACTAACAACCCACTCTCAGCAGGTAAAAAACGCAAGCAAACGTGTGACTTGGTAAACCATCATCCTCCCAAAAGGTTTTTACAAGCACAGGAGTACGTATTCACATGGCACTCTTTGGTAGGTTTATACTTAACTTAACACAATGTATAAAACACATGACTCAGCAGGTACTACATTTACTTTATAATGCTTGGTTATTATTGAGCCAGGTTCCTGAACAATATACGAAGTATTCTGAATGAACAATCACAAAAGAAATTGACACAGTAAAACTTTATGCAGAATTTAAAGAAGACGGGTTGTACATGGTGTTAAATGGCTTGGCATTGATGAAGTATGATAACCACGATAACAAGAATAATGGCAATTTTGCAAGATGTGATAACAATACTGTGCGCGGTGCCACACTTGATATATTGAAATCGATATACAAGACCAGATTAATGACTGAGAAAAGAAACGGAGATCGGATTGTTAAGGCAATGAAGACTATACTTCCAGTAATAATTGCGAAACCTGCACACACCAGCGTGAAACACGATCTAATACTTCTGTGGCTATTGACTGCTCATTTGACAGATACGCATGAATCACTGCACAGTGCTGCGAAGACTAAAGCCTTTGACAGCTAAAATGACACTATATGACACTACTTTAGGCTGATTCCATATATGGCTGTATGAACCACTGAACACAGCAGTTAATGTGAGAGACTGCAAAACCCACAACAGCAATGACACTCTTGCGTGTGCAAAAACCATGACGACAGCCAATTAAACATATTTAAACATAGCCCCTATCCACCTTGATACGAAATCTGCGCGCATGGCCGCGGGGATGCTACAGTATGACCTCCATGCCGTGCAAAGTTCTTTCTCTTAAGGGCTTCAGTAGACCTGCTTCGAAGTACCCTGCAGTTCTGTCGCATTCACTCACTACTAGTACTATATGTCGGCTTATCGTGACCATGCGCGTGCACTTGCAACCTTTTCTGTCCGACTTCCATGGTGCTTGCCCATGATGATCCCGCAAACACATAGGTTGCTTTCAGCACAGACTTTTGACACAACATCCATAATTTAAGGTTGACTCATGTTTCCGGAATGCCCCACCACTCGGCACACCAAAGCAAGCCCATCAGCATAAAGACGAAAACCTGGGTACCTGAGGGGAGGGCAGCATATGTATATATATATATATGTGATATATATATATATATATATATATATGTGTGTGTGGTTATTTTGGTTTTTGTTGGTTTATCCCGGCTCTTTTATTTAATTGTGTTTCTTCTTTTAGTATTCATCTATATATATATATATATATATACAAATCTGAATACGATAGTCATGATTATTTATCAGTAGAGGAAAAGGTATCAGCAATGGCCGACGTGGCCCTCAGCACATGCTACGAAGGCCCCAACAGGCATCCGGCCTCCATGCAAAGCGATGGGGACGCAGCTCATGGCAAGACCGTAGTTGTCGAATCCATCGAAACGAGAACTGCCGTCTTGTCCCTTGTGCCCCGTAAACCTGCATGTGAGATTCATCGAACGCTAGGGCTTGAAACTGCAAGGCCCGCGCCGCAAGCTGAATCCCTGACATGCTGGCTAGCAACCGTGTCAAGTTGACGTGCATAGAGGCTTAGGGTCACGGAATGACGGGAGCCCCGTGCCGGTCTTGGCGATGAGCCGCAGCTTGAGGCTTGAGGCACAGAAGCCACAGGAAGCAGCAACTGCAAAAGTCTGCGCTTCGACAATAGTCGAAAAGAGAGGACTTTTGCCAAGGCTGTACAACACATCTTGCCGCTGCGAGAGAGGCAGTGGCCCACCTGTACGCAAGCACCTAGCCCACAGGGTCCGGCGCGTTCGGTTCGAAACTCAAGCTCTCGTCATGGATACTCTCATCAGCGGCCTTTGCCTAGCTTGACATCGGGAAAGGATGCATCCAACGGAGTCTCGGGCTGCGGCCGCATTGCATGTTTTGACGACGACTGGCTTGGGAACCTGGCTAGTGGGACAGAAGATCTGCCAGGCGAATTGAAACGCGGGCTCAGGCTCAAACTCCTATGCCGAACTCCACCAAGAATCGCCTCTTTAGCTCTGACTCTGTATTTGCTGGCCGTCCAAGTTGCTTTGCAACTCCTTTAAAGGCACAACGGAAAAGCCGTCCGTGCTTGTTGCACTGCGCAACAGCGAATTGGTCTGCAATGCATAGGTCACACATGCATGCTTCCCTCGAGAATGGCCAAATCTTTCGAAATCTCTGAAGATCGAAGCCTTTTCGTGCAAGTCCCGCCTGGGACTCCGGACTTAAGGGGCCCCCTCTACTTCTGTGAAATATTCCGGGCTTTCCAAAGCCTCCTACGACGACCCGCGCAGACACAACGCCGGACCGCTTGAGGTTGAAAGCTCTAGTGATGGCACGACTACTGCACAGAAGCGAAACAAGAGCTCATCGCAGAGATGTGAAAGCATTGTATAACAAAACACCTAGAAGGCCCCCGCCATCTTGTCGTACTTGTCTGAGTTTCAGCGATGCTTGTATGACCCGATGCAGTTGCATCCCATCTTAGCACATGAACCTTCAGCAGGCCCAAGTACTGATTCACAGGGGTAACGTAACAACCGGATCCGTTCTCTCACGAACCTCGGCGCGGCACCCGCTGTCAATCGGTGGCATCACAGAGCCCTCAAAGCTCAGACATGCTAGCCACATGGCGATACCGGCGCGGACATCGCAGCAGCGATGTGCTTGAAAAACGAAGATGGCAAGCATGCATTTCCGCAAAGTGCGGCCAACGGACATGTTCTAACCCGTGCAGGTGCTGGTTCCGTAGTGTTCCCTGCAACACGATCTGAACTAGTTGCGCAAGGCCACGCAACATGCTTGCTCATAAATTGCAAGAGCTGCCGGGCTGCTTCCACAGAGAAAAATCTGCAACCCTTAATCTCAAGAGGTCTTCAGTTGTTCGTTTGTGTGGAAAGCAGCCCGTTCGTGCCCTACGGGGCTACTGATGATGGGATCGGATGACAGTATTCAAAGCCATTCGAAAGGACAGCAGTGTCGCAAAAAATGACGAAATTGGTTTGCGCTGGCAGTTACAGACAGCGGGATCCCATCAGAGAGCCACGCGACAGCCGCAGAGCAGGCTGGCAGTGTGGCTCACCAGACACACAACGTGTGCTTCTTTGCACAACGCGCTGACCCACGGAAATGCAAGACGGACCATGCCAAGCAACACGACATGAGGGCACGTATTCGAGCTTCGCAGCATCTGTGCATCCGGCTGTAAGTTTTCCCGCCTGCCTAACATGAAGTTTCTAGGCAGGGTGTAAAATGGCACAAAGCACCTGATTGGTTCTATGATGTCACTTCTCACCAAGACCTTGGCTACAACCACCTGGACTGCTACCGTGGTCAGGTTCCGATTCCCACTGAGTCAGATGACGCACCTATTTGTCTAAAGAGACGTGCGGGCACAAGAGTATCATCTGCCTGTGCCGGACAGGTGCAGAAAAACAGAAGGATGTCACGGCTTGGTCCAACTGCAGTCCTGGCTTCGCGCATATGCTGTGCACGGTGCGAGGAAATGGCCGAATACAGCAAACAGATACATCTGTGTGAGCGTTGTAGATATGTATATATATGTGTATATATATATATATACAATGTGTATTGCTCAACCTGCGATCGCCCCTCGCACAGAAGTTGGACAGGCGCAGCCTTCAGCAAACCTGCCCGGCCCCAACCCGTACTTAGCCTTGCTCAGTCAATTGGCCTCAAAGACCGCCAACTCGAGTAGACCAGCCATTAACTACAGACTGCAAGCTGTTTCGCCAGAAGGCGGTGTCCCAACAACTCAGGGCCATTTGGTCCTGGTCTTCCAGCTCATGCACTCCGCCAACGGGACACGACGCAGATCGATCCCCGGACAAAGTCTTGAGATTGAGCTGGTGCAACAGAGTGGAGTACATACGAGATTCCCATACTGTGGGGTGATGACATTGGAACCAAGCAGAAGTTCGTACGAGGAGGAGAGTACTCAGCACCCATTATAATAGCACTGCTTATGTTCATGATGAATTTTGTTCCACAGCATGAACAGATCGGAGAACCACATGGAGAAGTTTCCTGCAGAAATTAGCCAAAGCTTCCTCGTACTAGTTCCCTGCAAGCCGCAGGCGCATTATGCGCCTACAGACTCACGCACGAGGAAGATCGGCTTCAATGTTAACTTCCTCACTACAGTGCTTCTGTTGATTGGTGGATTGGTAGCAGCTGGCAACATCAGTGCGAGCAGGTGACTATCTCCAAAGGTGACATTGCTGCGATGCACCACCTTCGCAGCTCTCTCGCTAGAGCCTGCGCAAACAGAAGAAAATTATGAAAGGGAGAATGCGGCCAAAGCAGCCACCTGCGTCTGACATCGCTGTCAATTGACTGGAGGTGTCTGTCAACAGCACACCCGCACCCGATCAACTCACTGTGTCAGATTGGCGATCAGGCCGACCGTTACGGCCAGGAAATAGTAGGCCAGCTTTTGAACCATGTAGGCGGAGATCCGCACACCGAACACGTAGAAACCTGCCTCACCTGAGCAAGCCAGGTCGTTGTTCAGGAGTTACGCCAAACACGCAGAGCGCAAGCAACTCCTAATTATCATTCAAGCAGGCGGCTTTGGTTTATGAACTGAACCACATACTGCCTTCCTGGATCCAGGGCAACTGTTTCACCATTCTCCTGCAGGATGGGCGTCGAAAGTTACGGCTTTCCGGCAACACTGCATTGGAACGCTCAGAATCGAAATACGGTTGGCAGATGTACTGCACCTGCACCGAATCAATCTGTGCTACGAGTCTTGACCCTACTCCCTGCAAACACACACACACAGACAGCTCCCCGACAAGCTATGTCCTATCACACAGTACTGCACGTGTCTTTTTGTCAAACAACGGCATGAGACGTTGCACGGCTGCAGGTCAGCATGGTTGGATTTACATCCTCAAGACTTCATATTCATACTTCTTTATCCATGTGTCCGAAAGCTCGCTCAGGGAACAGCATCGGCTCGAAAAGCCTGCTACAAACTTCCAGTTTCCTCGGCGGGTTCAAACTCCCAGGAGTTCACCAGAGGTGCGACTCGCATAGCCTTCTCTGTAACGGACGCCGCGCGGTACATAGCCTTCAAGAGCCGAAATCATTGACAGTCTCACACGGGAAAGCCCCTTCTCTTGCAAGGTCATCATCTCTGTTAAGCTTCGGTCGGCTTTGGCTGTTACGAAGAAAAACCATGCCCCAGACTTCCAGCTAAAGCGCCACTTTCGTTTTTGCACGAATCGCTTCAAGGCATGCTGCCTGGAAGCTTCATGCCCCCGATTTCGAGCTAGATACAGTCGAAGGCGAACAGCAGCTTCGATACCGAAAACGCCAAGCTGATATCCGTCAGCCTTAGATTATGCGGACAAGGCACGTAAAGGAATAACAAGAGCGGAGGATACAGCCATCCAAGCCATAGCGCAGTGTCTAAAGCACTGCCAAGGATTTCAGGCATCTGCACCACCTCAGCTGAGCTCTTTGGGCCTGAGGCTTCGTGACAAGTGCTCAGCATTGAGATACTGAACGAATCCCGAATGCCGACGTTCGCGTTTTGGGCAGGTACGGCTCAAAGCTGGGCCCCAAATCTGTTGACCCGTTGTTCTGCTGCGTGTCCCAAGACCAGCTGATGCAGCCGCTCCATCCCTCATCCCTCATCCCCGTGGCGGGATGCCCTACCCCAATTCAACGCCGGCCTGGGAGGCAAACAGAACAAGAGATGCGGTGCAGGCAGCGCCCAGCGCCTGAAGTCGAGATGTTAAAGTGCTTACCAACTGCGTAAGACAACAGGCACAAGTAGCTGCTGAACTGTCAAGATCAGCCAACTGAGAATGCCCTTTGCCATTGCCATGGATCATGTCTCACCTGTAGCTACTAAAGCATCACATGATTAATGAAAGCACGCACGACGCATGCTCAGTCTTGGCGTTGTGTCCCAAGGGCCAGCAGCGACCAGCATGTCTTCTGAGAAGCTTGCCTGCCAGAGGGCAGTTGGGACCCTGCAAGGCTGGCTGTAAGTGTCAGAAAGCAACCTCCGAGCTGATACCCAATACCCGCAGTGCAAAGACTGACCATGCAAAGACTTCACCTCTCTGTCCCACCTGAGTGTTGCAGACAGCACATTCCTGGGGGCAGCAGCTGCGCACGAATACACACTGGTGCAGTTGCGAGACATGCACATTCGAAGGGGTTCCTCAACAGCACTTAATGTGAAGACCATGTCCCGAATCGAAGTGCAGGCCCAGGCGTCCACTCGCTGAGGGCGCCCTCCATGTCCTGGTCCTTGAACAGGCGGAGGCAGAAGTTGTCGATCGCGAGCTCCAGCCCGGAGCAGACGTGGAAGTGCGTGTAGCACACCTGGCGAAGAGATCCGAGCTCTGTAGCCAAGCCTCTTTTTAAGAGGGCTGCTCTTGAAGCTGGGGGGCAGGGAGGAGAAAGAGGGAGGGAGGGACACCACAAGCAGCTGTGCCCGAACTCCACTGATCCTGCCTTCATTCCCTGCAGGACACGCGACACTTTCAGCAAGCATGCAGGGACAGGAGTCTCAAAATCATTCGCCTGCGGGAATGTACCATGACTGTTTCCCAGCGGGAGGTGGTAGCAGCTGGACACTAGCATCAGGAGAACAAAAAACAATAAGGTAACGGTGACCGCTTCCAAGGCACCGCCGAGAGCCGCAATGACATCCTTAGTCTTCGACAGCGGCTGGTGTTTGCTCGCTGGAAACGGCCCTGTCTCTCCGACTTATCGAACATGCCTTGGGCGGATAGGACAATGTGCGTGATCCTGGACTCCATGCTCTGAAACTGGTCACGTTTGGAGTGAGTGCCTACATGGGCATTGTGACATCTGTAGCATCCTCATGCCTTGTTTATGAAAACACAAGCACAGGAGCAATAGGTGGGCCACCAAAACCATCATGCCCGTGCCGAAGGATGATAGTGGCAGGCCGCCGAAAATCTCCTGTCCCCAGCTTAAGACGGCATCCGGGCCTTTCTAACAAGTCCTTGCTCTCTCTCACGCCACTACGTCAGCCCGCTGCTTTTTTTCCCTTTCCTCCCCTCGGAAGCTTCCCGCCAGCAACGGCCTCCGAGGACAAGAGGGCGGCGAGAATGCGGCAAGCCATCATCAGACACCAAAACACCAGTACCTCCCAAAGCAAACGGAAAAAACGCAACGGTTCAATGGGCTCCCTCCGTGGGAAGCCCTCCTCAGCCCGCCCTCTGCCTCCACCAGCCGATACCTGGACAGTTGCCGCCAATCCTCTGTGAAGCCATAATCTGCCTAGCGGCATCATCACTCTTCAAAAAGCAGGAAAGCTTGAGGTCTCGGCTGGAGTTCCAGTCATCGAGTGCAACCATCACAGGCCAGGCACAGCGTATTCATCCAGGCGCCGCTCGTAAGGACCGATCATGGCCTTGGCCAAGTGCTGCACTGCAAGTGCTGCTGGTCAGGAAAGAAGGCACTGCATAGAACTGCTATGGGATGCTTGGTCCCGAGATTGTGCTGGAAGAGGCTAACCTACAAGCACAACTGCCAGCAACAATCCATTCGAGCCAGCCGCAGTAATCCCTGCATGCCGCACACCCAAAATGGCAATCCTTGGTAGGTGTGAGCAGTGAGGAGCAGGGAAGCTTCAGAACCAGAGTTCAGCTGCTCCTGCTGAACCCTGCGCAGAATCTCAGGTATAAAAACAACACCTTTCAGACGAGCGGCATGGCACCCAAAAGGTAACACGCCGTTGTGATGGCAGGGAAATGATGAAGATTGGAGCAGGCCTGAAATTTCACGATGCGCCGCAGTTCAGAACTGGGACTGCAAATCAACAGAGGCAGAAGGGGGAAAAGCTCCCGATCATGCAAATGCAAGAGCTGCAAGAGGACATGTACCAGTGGGAAGCTTCCGGTTGTCACAGTCGATGCAGCCCAGCTGCACCCAGGTAGCCAAGTGCCACTGCCAGCAGCGAGGCATCGACCACGTGCCAATGCGAAAGCACTTGCCAGAGTCTGCCAGGTCTAACATCCACAATTCCCGAAAGCGCCAGTAGAAGCCATCCCTTGGTGAGTGTGCTCGCGCCTCTGAACTGCTTTGAATTGTTGTTTGCCTGTGTTCTTCTAGTTCGTTCGATAGATGTACCGACTTGATCGTTTAGTGAAGCCGGTAAACCGTTCGTGGGACCAAACATGCGTTTTGATGGTGCTATGATGTACTGGAATCTTCAAGGATTACAAGATACATCCCGTCACTATCCACAAAAATCCAAGCCGCAACGCTCGGCAATGGCGTATCAGCGGCATCTGTCACTGTTCGCTGCTGTCGAATAACAACGTTGCCTGAGAGGCGTACGTCTGGAACAGCAGAAGTGACTGAAGATGCGAGCCGAACCGATCCCACTCCAAGCTTTGACCGTGATTCACACGAACATTGGCTTGCTACATTGATCGCTGATCCAGCTGTGGCTTGAAGATCGTTGACAACCTGCTTCCGATCAAGGTGCTTTCCATGCGCTTCAGCGGGCTGGCAAGGACCGCATCATAGTTCTCACGAAGCTGATCCATAGAGAGGCCTTGACCCGAAACCCGCAAAAACTACAAGAGGGCCGCGGCAGGTGCCACAACTTGCACGCGCGGAATTTGCAAAGCACGGACCGAGACTGCAGTTCGCGAGTCGCAATATGACATCGTCAGCCCAGGAGCGACTCATCCTCCGTACAGCATCCTGTCAAATTCGATCAATGAATTGTCCCTGCTCGACACTTCTCTCCGCCCTGTTGAAGATGGGCACATTCGAGCATTAATAGCTTCCTTTGTTTCTTGTGTATATATTTATACATAAATGCATGCATAATTTTGTAATATGTACGTATGTTTCCATGCAAATGCATGTATCTATGTATGTATGTATAGAGGGGAATCAAGAGCTCTTCGTTGTCTAAGATACAGGGTTCATGATCTGTTTGTTTGCCATGAAGAGAACTATCATACATCATCAACCAAAAACTGCTCTGACTGAAGATGCCGACTGGTTACTATTCCAAGCCATCCATTTCATGCTGGATCATCCAAGTTGAAAGCGGCTCGCTCGGAACTCACCACTTCCACACCCTTCCGCGTCGCAGCCGAAGCAGAATCTTCCGCAACACAACGGGCATTTTGTACAGTCGAGGCATACGGAAAATGAAGCTCTGAAACCCGGGACGAACAAACCCACAGCCTGCGCCCTACTCCAGCCATTCTTATTCTCGGCATCTTTCCAGGGCATTCCAACAACAACGATTTCTGCAAATTGCCAATTACACGAACCTTTCGTTGGACCAACATGCCCCATGAAGGTGACTTGCGACTTACCTGGGTTCGCCTACAATGTGATGCTCCTTCATCGAACACAATCAGCATCAGCATGTGGCGCACATAATGTACGAAGACATTGTAATCACAGACAGTGACTAAGGATTCACAGAAAAATGACCGGCCTCTTCCGTCGCGACAGTTCTCAGTCTGACACTGGCACCAAAAGAACAGAGAGAGGGGCCAGCGCATGAGAAAGAAAAGGAAATGCAAGGAACTAGACCCCTAAGAAAACATGTGATTATGCACCTGGCCTGCTTCACAGATTTCATAGTGTTGGACTTCACCAGCATCCCTGCCGCAATTGGAATCAGTGGCTTCAACTTCACCTAAACTTTCGGCTGACAAGCCTGGCGGCCCTCCATCAGAAGCGTGAAGATCGTGAGAGTTCTTCAGCAGCTGCCGGGCGGTCTCTTCCTGGAGCTCCTGACAGGAACCAGGCGACCGGGCGCAAAGAGTTCTCGCGCTCTGCAGAGCTTCGGCTGTCAAGCGACCGGGTGCAAAGCATCGCAAAACTGCCTGCCTAATTCTTATGCCTCCCAAGAAAGAAAAATGTCAGGAAGGGCAGCCCAGCCCAGTCCTCAACCATTCCGTAGCGTAACTTCCGCGGGCCGGACTCAAGGGAACGAATCTTGCCTCGATCGGACGGTAACATGTGCACTCTTGCCGTGAACTACCATCCGGACTCTGCAACACCCTGACTTGGGCTGCCAGATCTTGGAAGTTCCGACTAGTACCAGCAAACAGAATAGCTGTGCTGCACCCAACGACCAACGTCTTCGCAAGCCTATCCTGCTCTGTCATGGCTTGTCTGCAGCTGCGTCACGGACCCCGTCCGATTTGCGTGCCTGCGCCAGTGACTGGTACGAACAGAGCAAACGCACGGTGTCTATACGCATTGCAACGGTTGTTGGGGTCTTTCGGATTTCGGGGTCACTGAGTCGAATCTTGCTGGGTAGCCGAATGTACACAAGCATTACATACCGCGCAGCAATGCCTTCGCACTGGTCAGGCTCTACAACTTCGTGCGTTCAGGATTGGTAGCACTCCAGGCAGTTTTTGCTTGCTGTGCCATGCAATACACTTCAATGGCCTGCATCGGCTCGCTGTCACGGCTTTGCCGACGTTCCAAGGACTTCCTTGTCGACAGGCATGCGAAAACAGAATCATCTTAGTATCTTAGTGTCTGCTTTCATCCCAAATGCTCCAAGTGATCAGCACGTTGCTTCCTGTGGGCCTGCCTGGCAGCCCTGCACAACAAGCTGAGCAATCTGAAATATGCCCGAGTCGCTTTTGACTATTCCTCCTCTGAACAGGAGCCATCTCGTTGTCCTGTGGCTCATTTGGTGAAGATGTTTACCACCGTTTTAGTGCGACCCTCAGGGTTCCGGCATGATGCGGTTGCTTAAACTGTTCACGACACTTCAACTCTACGTGGGCACCCCAGGCCGCTTCAGCTCCAGGGGCCATAACCAGATGCAACCGAACGCGATCCCACCTTCTCCAGTGGCGTTGCCGAGGTAGCGTGCTGGTGAACGAGGCTCGAATCATCCGGACCTAAGACCACGCGGCTTGAACCGATATGCGACCACTTCCAGGTGCGCTTCAGGCCACCACCCTCTCGCGCGATGACCCCCGGAAGCGGGAGGAGCGCAGGAGGATCCTCCAAGTGTCGAATGACGAATGACAGTGGCAGCGCTTAGGGCTCAGATACCCTCACCGAGCACCAGCGGTCACACAAGACACGATAGCTCACGCACTGTTTTCCCAATGGCTCGCCGCCACGTACTGGGGGCCCCTACGGTCTCGGGCCTAAAGACCTCGGAGTTTCCTGCTGGCTCTGGGACCAAGCGACAAGAACAACAGCTCAGCAACAGGCTGACTGTTCACACAAGCTTTGAAGCGGGATACCATCGTAGAGGGTTCACTGGTGCCTCAACACTGAAACCAGTCTTGCATTAGGTGCATTCCTCCTCGGACTCTTCACGTCACAAAAAGCACGGATGCAAGAGTGTGGGGTTGAAGAGTTTTCGCTTGGATTGAAGGGTGTTTGGGTTCCGGGCTTTGGATAACGTCCTGACACACGCAAGATCCATGTCCCGACAGACAGTGTCCTCACAGACCCAGGCTTTGAACCCTCTTGAGAGCATAAGGATCTACCCGAAAACCCCTGAACCCTCGACCTCAACCGCTGCAATTTGTCACAACCACCGGCTCCGAAATGGACGGCTTCGTGGGATCTTGTCGTGAACGAGCAGTTATGAGTCATCAGTGTCATGCAGCGAGATAGTCGACTGACTCTTCTGACATCCCCATGACGAGAGGATCAGTCCTTCGGAGCTTGCACAAGTTCCAAGGTATCCAGCCGTTCGTTCACCTGGCACGGGCGCTTCCCCAACGAGCCGTCCTCACTGCGCAGGTGCTCTTTAGCTCAAGAGACAGCCCAGACAACCCTTCGAACCTCAGTGTTGATGTTGACGGCGAAGGACGAGAAGGCAGGGTCCTGCTCCTCAAAGAAACTCTACAGAAATGCAGCGGCCAAGTCGAAAAGTGCCGGTCGATGACTCACTTTAAGACGGATGAACCCAGAGACTTTAAAGCAAAAGAGTCCTCCGGGCCCTCAGAGGTGCTCTCCATACACCGATCCTCAAGCTGTGCCGACAAGCAAAAACGAGCCTTGAGGCCCTTGATAGCACATCCAAGCGGCTAAGCCTGAGAGCTTGCTCTTGCTCCTGGCATGCCCAAAGAACACGCCGTCCACTGTGCATCGGAGCGAGTCCTGAGAAACAAAGACGTGCGGTTTCACACGGGCGTGCCATTGCATGATTGGAGCAAGCTCAAGCGATCCGAGTTCCCTGTCACACGATCCGCAACCATCTCACTTTCGCTCTGCACCAACCCTCAAGATTCTCTAGATTCAACTTTATCGGTGTCCAAAGCGCGGGCTTTTGACCCCTTTGCAACATCAGCAAATGGAAGACGGGCGGCTAATGAGGCAGTGTGGGATGACAAAGTGCCATCCATTCCAGAAAGCAATTTCTGCATCTGTAAAATCTCTTGCCTTCACGCGATGCAAGTCTAGAGATTTGAACCCATCTCACAATTCCAGGACCAGTAAGAGTCTGATGTCTGAGCCCTGCCTGAGGTCCAGAATCATCGATGGAACGTCCTCGCAGGCTGAAGAGACAAAGAGCGTACTTGCCGATCTGTCCATCGTGCGAGTACAGCCTCCCAGTGACTCTAGTCGTGAGTTCGGCTGTGTCACCGAAAGGGTTCCGAAACTTTCAGAAACATCCAGGAGATGGGGAGAATCGCTGTAGCCAAGCGGACGAAACAGTGACACATCATTAAACCAAACCAGCAGGTGCAAAGGTCCTGAATTTCCTGGCAGGATTCAGCAGCATCTTTCATCACTGCAGCCTGGGGACCATTTCGTGAGATGGCAAGTTCTTTGCAGTCAAACTAGCATGTGCTCTGTAGCTTATAAGCTTATTGGCTTGAAATCGCAGGGATTGATCTCGAGTAGCTTCGGACAATGCCTGGACCTCAAGGTGGCTTGAAGCCGCCTGAGCCAAGGAGCTCTGGCAGCCGGACCGGCCGTCACGGCCGAGTCTCCAAGCGCGGCTTCAAGTTTCCAAAACACCAGCTCCCTAACAGTTTTCAGGCTGTGGGCATGGAAAAGAAACCGTGAGAGGAAGTTGCGTGCCATCTTTTGCCACTACTTGCCGACCACCCTGGTCTTTTCTGCTGGATCTGTTGAGGTGTGGTTGTGCCTGCTTGTGCCTGCTTCTGCCTACTGACCTACTGGTGCACGTGAGCCACTGAGAACCGGGGAGAGTTCACAGTTGCAGCCTCCAGACCTGCATTGCCTCACTTTGCCGCTACTCAAGCAGAACAACACGAAACCAAAGCTTCTCAAGAACGAAACTCCACGAGCCCACGAGTAGAGTGCAGGATACCGAGCTGCACTGGTGCAGCATACACAATCGTACAACCACGTCTTCCGACTTTGAAAGCTCCTGTGCAAACCACACTTGCAATAGTCCGACAGAATCAGAAACGGGCCAGACACACGCCAGTCACGTTTGCGACAGGCAACCTTGGAAGGCTGGGACACACGTGATGACGTCAGCTTCACAAGGCCAACCTTCACTTACGATGCCACAGTTCCCCGTCTCAGTCTGAAATTTAACCCCTGAGGCACCACGTCGCCGCTGAACAGCATTCGCCTTTTTGCAGAACCCCTGCAAGCTGCTTGCAGACGAGCTGCACCTGGAGATGCTCCCTTTCATCATGTCTCTCAGTCAGACCAGAACACCACTTTGCGCTATCTCAGACAGGATTCCCTGGTACCCACCAGATCATCTCTGAGCCGATTCGAGGCACTTGCACACGTCCAGCGGCTTCTGACCTCTACATTGCCCATCAGAACCAGGGTTCCACACTGATAGCAACATCAACTTTTCCTATAGAGGGTACATGAGAGTACCCTAGATTCCCTCGCGCATTCCGATCTTAGGCTTCCACTGGTTTTCCAAGCGTCGGATGCCAGGCGAAAACTTCGGGCGAGGGCCGCGCGAGCCTTACGGCGCCTGCTTGTCAGACACGGGGCCACGTGATGTTCTCAGCTGTGGGTGAAACACCAGCAACGCTGTTGGCTGCAAACCAACACTGCGCTCGTGAACAACCTTGCATGGTGCCTCTGTCAACCACCCTCAGTGCGAGCTTCCGCAGCCTTCTACCCACAGCCTCGTTAGGTTTCTGCACTGCTCCTGGACCAGCTCGAGCCTCTTGCCACACACATCGATTCAGATGCAGTCTGCGCAGGCACGCCGGCTGCCCAAGATCTGGCTTCCTCTTAGGCCGCTAAGAGGATCTCGCGCAGAGCCCCAATCTCCAGTTAGGGCTTCGTAAAGTTCTGCCTCCGAGCGAGGCTATGCTGCAGCCTTTGGTAGCTTTTTGTTCCGCTTCTTTTTTGGCTTCTGACCCTTGGCTGCCGGCGCAGCGGTGGGAACGGTTGGAAGATCCTGCGCACATGCCAGGGTACCATGCAGCATGCCTTGGGGCCAGGAGATGCGAAGAGCCTCGAAAGCTTCATCGCCGATTCTTCGTATAGATACTTGTATAGGGCAACCCATTCAGTGACATGAAACAGCCGCGCACTGAAACGCTTCAAGTGGCAGCAACATGAACTTCTGAATCCTATGCGATGTTAGTTGGCAAGCACGCAGGCTCACATGCACAAGTGGCTGAAAGAGAATACATGCGCTGACATAAGCACTCAGCCTGGGCCGCGGTCTTGCGCCGAACCTTCTTCTGCTTCTTCTCAGACGTCTCTTCTTGGGGGACCGGGGCTTCCGACTGAGTCGAAGCGTTTCTTGCTCTGTGCTTGCGCTTCAGCTCCGCTTTCAGAGAATCGCTGTGTGGGTCGCCTTCCCCTCCGTCCTGTTCCGGCACTCTTCTTGCCTTGGTCCTCTTTTGCACTTCCCGGCTTGGTCGGGAGCTAGGAGCCGTCTTGGCCGAAATGGTGGCCTCGTCCTTCGTCTTCTTCTTTTTTATTGTCTGTGGGGGATCAGGCGGGTGTTTCAAGCGCTTGTGCTTGCTCGTCAGCCCCTCCGTCTGCTGCACCTCCCCGGCCTGCCAAAATCTCTGGCAAAGACGAGAACCAAGCGCTGTGCCTTAAACAGCAACGGCCTCCTCGACATCATCCCACGCCGTGCCCGCCTCCTCGGCATCATCCTGCCTCCGAGACTCCAGCTTGCTAGGACATCTTCGAGGATTTCCTACACTCCGAGGTCTCCACATCGTCCGGCCTCTCGTGCGAGAACTTGCAGTTCTCACCACGCGAGCAGCTTCCTTCGGCTTGCAGCCAGCTTGCAATGCTGTAGGGACCGTTGCCCACAGGATTTCTTTGCATCAGTTTGAGGTGCTGCGTCGCAGCAACATGACCAATCCAGAAAGGCTTGTATCTGAGGTTGCAGTTCGGCTTGAGGAAGCTGGCATCATAACATACCTTCTCAGTATATTTGTGGAAGATCCTCAGCACGGTGGCCCAGTACAGGCACTTTGTTTTCCTCTTCCATCCGTGAACACCGTCGTCCCCCGTTCCCCGAAGCATCTGCCACTGCTTATTCACAAGCGGTCTTCTGGGACTGCTCGGCTGGAAAGTTGACGTCTCGAACTCGGACAAGCGAAGCGAATCTTCTATAAAAGCAGCAAGGCCTGAAAGGGTTCGCTGCCGGAGAGTGCTGCTCTACCACAACTTCGTCCCGGAGAGAGGGAGAGAGACACACGTGGTAGATACTAGGTGCGAGTTAAATGCTATACAGGATGCGACCTATGAAAGCTTCAGGCCATGTGCACCCCGGTCAACCAAAACCTTTGTGCCGTGTGCACAAACTGAATCTGGCCTGCAGCGAAGAAGCGGCAGGGAGGTAAGCGGCGTCCACTGCCTCCAGCACGAGCTCGCTGACTATTTGGGGCAACCTCTGGACATGTAGCAGATAAACTCTCTCCTTGGACCTTCTGTGCCACGAAACTAACTACTGACTCCTGCGTCGCGATGCCACAAGACTCAGCCTCGACCCGTCGCGTCGTGCAGGTATTGGCACTGCTGCCCTCCTCAGCCACAAGTAAGGCAAGTGTCTTCTGAACTCACACGGCGGGTAATTAGCTTTGCGACCAGAGGTCTCTGGCACTTGCCCTCCAGAAAGAACATGCAGATCTCCTTCGCTCGAACTCTCTTGGGTGGGTTCCGGTGGAGTGGGCCCGTAGCTGGCAATCCGGAGCTCCTTGACACGACTCTGCCCCTGGTTCCGCGCCACACTGACTGCGAGGACCTCTCAAGTTTCTCTCTTCACAGTACAGCCATGAACACGACATCGAGATGATCAACATTCAATCGTTGAATCCGCATCTCACGTGCTTTCAAAAGGTTATCAACATCTGATATCGGCAGCACTTGTGATTAACAAGACAGCTCGCATGCAAAAGCACGTCCGTGTGACAGGCACGCAGCTTTGCAGGGATGTTGGCAGTGTTGTGCATGCTCCATAGGAAACTTCAACGGCATGATGCTCTCGTACAACTCAAACCTGAGTTACAGCAAGTTCACGACATGCCCAAACACAAAAAGCCTGTTTCAAAGCTAAATTCCTGGACACCTGCGAAAGCACATCATGGTGGACAGAACGCGACCATTCGCTTATACGCAAGACATGAAGGAGAAGCTAATTCAGCACGGCCCGGTGCCTTGCCACGAACCTTGGCGCCGTCGAGTCGCTGAGTAACCAGCCTGGCCTGACAGTTGGGACATGGCAACACAAGGACCGGAGGGATTTCACTAGTCTCAGGGAACCGAGGGCAGAGGACTTGACAAAGATGTCCTGGATACAGGTGAGCAGGAGATGTGCGTGGGGACAACCCATCCGAATTCACATCCCAAGTACGACATTATTGAACAAACGTGGGATCATCACTTGCCCCGACCCCACGCTGCACTGCGATCACTTCTCCGAACCAGCAGCACGTGCGCCTCTTGCACACTGCTCAGAGTCACGAAAGCCGACAGCAAGGAGCCGCCAGCATGCCTTGGACTGTGCTTGCTGACTCCATGAGAAACGATCTGCTGGTTGAAGTCGTTAGCCCTATACCGTGCAAAATCATGGAGTGAGGGGCCGGGCAGGGGGAGTAACAAAATGTTGAGTCGTTGACGTGTTCGAAGTTTAAGGTTGTCAAAACAAGTCAATGGGCTTGACGCTCTCTTAATCATTTGTCTTCGGAGCATTCATTCGCTGAACTACACCAAAACCCGTGCTGGGGCTTTTTGTTTTCTTTGCGAGGATGCAACTTCGAACTGAGAGGTACTGAGAGGTGGAGCCTCAAACCATGGGCCAAAGTGATCTTCGAGTCCGAACAGTGTATGGCAGGGCCGGCAATGCAAAACACCGGAAGACTGCGGGTAAATTCGTGCTCAGTCGCTTGACCAGCTTCACCCGATCAATTGCAACAGAATCCTGCCAGGCATACCAGAGTCGAGCATTAGAACCAGCCCGGGCAAAGTGCAACTCCAACACGAAGCCTCGCCACATCGCTGAACCACGATATCGCGCACATCGTCTGCCTCTGCAATACGATACGACGTCATGCACATGACAAGTGAGTCGGAAAGAGTTGTTGAACCGCATCCGTACGATCACCGTGCTCCTGAGAAAATCAGCGAGGACTGTGTATTGATTGATTCACGATTTCGCACCAAAGCAAACACAAACCAGTGCAGGACTAACTGCTGGCGCGGTGTGGTGGATTATCGCGTTTGCCTGGGGTGCTTACCGTTGCTTCCAGCTCCAAGGGCCGCAAAAAGACTTCGCGGCCGGCCTGGTGCGCAAACAATAAAATCCATCAGGGCTTTTTCTTTCGAAACCAATATTACTTTGGCCCACAACTTGGCGAAGGGCCTCGAGCTCGCGCAAGTTGCGAAGGTAACCTTCTCGATCCAAGCTCATGGCTCAAGCCGTAGGCGTGGGCTTGTATGCTCATCAAGGTAATTTCCATGCTGCGTGGTTGTGTGCTAAGCCATCTAGTTGTACATGCGTGCAAACACGGCTTTGAATTTCTGCCGACGGTGGGCTTGAAAAGGATCGCTGCATCTCAACACAAGGAACAACATGCCTGAAGTGGTGCTCCGGAACTCTCAACGACACAACGCCCTCAGATCGTTCCAATCCACCAAAATTCGCTGGGGACATTTTGGTTGAATCCGCATGAGCTGCTGCTTGCACATCAAATGACAGGCTGTCAAGGCCATGGGGTTTCTTGGAATCCAACACAACAACGGGCCCATTGCCAAACGACAAACAAACTCCTTTTGGTCCTGTCAGTTTTGGCGTTGTAGCCGAGTCTCAACAAGCAAACACGTGAAGGAGGGGTTCCACAAATGGTTACAACACGCAACCACAACGAAAACGACAATTACAACAACAACAACAACAATTTTTATTAGACGCTGAGCGAGCGGGCTCTGCTCATTGCGGGCGTGTGAAACTGCCTTTGCACCTGAGCAAAGAGCAGAGAGCAGAGTGAAGAGAGCCTGGGCCTGGAGTCTTGAGGCTGGCAGTCAGCGGTAAGCAAAACTTAAAGCTACAAGCTACTTCAGAGGCCGTCACATGTCACTCAGTTGGGTGAGAAACCCTCCGTCACCCTCAGTGTGGACTATGGCGTCCCATGTCCACGAACCAATGATTGATGAGCCGTACCCAACGGGCCGTCACTCGGAGTGCCTGTTTCGTGGCGTCCCACTCATGGTCACTCTCAATCAGAGGCGGTGGGCCGTAAGGTCGCAAAGTGGCATAATGTCCGTGGCCAACCAATGGAGGTAGTAGAAGCTGCCCACGCCTTGGCGTAGGCTCATGAAGAAAGACAGTGTCCAACCCGATCTAGCATGGCATAGCTGCCTCAATGTGGCAGTTGGGCTTGCTCACACATAGTGAGCAACGAGCAGGCTCGTGAGTGCGGATATGCTGTTGACTGAGGCAGCTCTTCTTTTTTGAACAAGAGCAGAGTGCATCGGCAAAGTCACGGCACCCCCGGGAGCTGAAGCTCCGTGCCATGGAAGGCCAATGAAAGATTAAATGTCATGAACGGATCAGGCGTTGCCTGCATGCAAGCTGCGAGCGATGCCCGACGTAACTAGCTGAAGCTACATCACGTGAAGGCTCAAGAGATCTGTCAGCCCTAAGGGAGATGAAAACCGAGATCAGCAAGAGTGGCTTTATGCGCACTCGACAACCGGCCAGGGTCAGAAATACAGTATGCAGCCAGCGTGATTCGATCTGTCAGGCTCCAACCGCGAGTACAGTGAACATGGTTGTGAGCTGGGAAAATGAGTGCCTGAAAGGCCAGGCTAAATGGGCGGCCACTCAGCAGACCATAGTCAGTTTCTTCGTAATCAGTGCCTTGCCAGGATTCCACCCAGACTGATCCTTCATCATGATGGGAGAGACTAAGCAGCAACGTGCCCGTCTTGGAGTTGGACTGATCTCGATGAGGTGGCGTACGAACGTTGAGGTTCAAGGAGAAGGTAGTCCATTTGTGCTCCGGGCAGATGTGCTCAATCAGTCGGTTGAGCAATCGACAGAAGGATCCATGCCGAACCGTATCTGCGCAAAGTCCGATAGGTCCTCGTGCAAAGGCGCCGAAGGTGACATTGTTGGCGGTGCCATCAGAGAAGCGTTGGCGACCTGGGCGCCATATCAAAGCGCGAAGTGCTGTGCGCACAGCATTCCAGAGCGGTGACTGAGCGTCTTGTAGCAAATGCCACGACAGAATTTCAGCGCTGGTGGTCCGCTCATCCAACTCACCGTACGGAAAGGGCATATGAGTGTCAAGGCTGCGAGGGAGACAGGGTTGCAGGCGTGCAAGGTAGTAGGACAACTCCTTCATCCGTTCCTGCCCAAAGGTCTGAATTGCCAGGTGCAGCAGATCATTGTAGGATAGCATCCCCGCTTCGGCCGGAAGCGACAAGCGTGGCGGTCGAGCGGCCAGGGCATGCATAGCCTGTAACAAGAGGTACTCCTCAAGGGCCACGGCGTACAGGTCCGGCGGAAAGTCTCGCGTTTGAAACATGATGTTGGGAGCTTCCTGGCTATGTTTGCTGCTGGAGCCACATACCCTAGAGAGAGTGAGATAGAGTGGTCCCTGGCTCGTGCGGCAAGAGCAGAATGACTGACAGAGAGTTTGTACTCCGCTCAAAGAGACTAGCATCGCTAGTGTAGGCGGTGCTGCTTGACTCATCACTGAGCGCTTCGTCGAAAGACGCTCAGTTTGTAAGCAGGGCGTTGCCTGACATCACTGCAGGCGTTGCCTGTATTGCCAACTAGGTTAGCTGAGCAGAAAGGAAGAGAAAGATTACAGTTGCCCATTACCAACAACGCGCAATGATGTCAGCAGGGCGGTGCCTGGCATCAACTGGGGCGTTGCCCGGCAGCCGCAAAAGGTGAGACTGGCTAAGCAGCCCTGGCATGCGATGGCTCAGCGGTAATAGCCGTGGTAGGCAGAGTTCCTGGCATTGTAGGAATTTTCTTCCCAGTCCCGCCAGTCTTGCCAGTCTTGGGAGCCGGCAGATCTGGAGTGTTGTTCGGACGGGGGCTCGTGAGAGCCATACGGGTCCGACCTCCTGGACTCCTTGTTCTCTCTGTGCTCAGCTTGCCTTTCACGGCGACCACGAAGCTGCTGGCCAGTAACATTGCGAATGACGTTCAGCTTGCTATCCAGGACTTGGCCGTGCGTAATCTTGATGGTTGGATGGCTGTCGCGCGTGGCCTGGATGATATTGACATTGACGTGGGAGGGTTGGTGCGCCTTCTTGGTGGCTGCCTCGTAGATGGTCTGCAGGGTCGTCGCAAATAGGCGAAACTCATCCTGAGTAGCCACTCGCTTGCCCTCGAAGAGAGCGTAGGGGACCCCATTTTTAATTGTAGCCTGAAGGCCCCCGAGCCAGGTCGTGAGCTTGGGGTGGATGTGCTCTTGACCAGCGCGGTCCTTCGTGGCCATCGTTAAGTGGCCAGACGAGTGGACAACAAGTCGACCCGAGATCACAGAGCGCCAGCTGAGGTCTTTTCGATCAGCTTCAGGTTTCTGGTAAACCCTGCTAAGGCCTGCAGGCACGGTTGGCAGCTTGGTCAAGACCTGAAGTCGGGCATTCCATATCGCTGTGAACTCCTGGGGCTGAAGAACACCCACGACTTCAGGAGCCGTCAGTGACTGGAGGTCCGCTACTGCCACCACCCAGTCGTAGAAGTCCTTCTCGGCACAGAGTTCCTCCATTGTGGGAGGAGTGTTTTCTGGCTCTTGAGGAGGAGCTTCATGACGATGCGGTGCATCAAGGATGGCCGGTCGCGGTGCGACGTATGGCGGCGGGGAGGCAGGCTCGTTGGGCCGTTGATTGCCGGAATCTGAGGAGGAGGCCGACGCAGCGGCCTGACCTGAGCGCCCAGTGGTAGCCCTGGCATAGGCCTCTTCCCCCGCGTGATGCCATGTAGCGCCGCTGCCGCGTGTCCGCAGAAAGTGCGGCAGTAAGCCCTGAGAGGTGTGGAACATGCAGGGTCCGCCAGATTTGCCCGCACAGAAGACACAGCACAAAGTGTCACCATTTTCTGAAATGGCTATGCCAAGACCGCGCGGGATGAGCTCCTGGACTTGCTGCTTGGTGAGTTCGCCATAGAACCGCGGCCACTTTTCGATGAGCTGCACAATCCGATCGAGAAGGCTGGTGTCGAGAGCTTCAAGCACATGTGCCTGAATGGTTGCCTCAGTGGGGACCGGAGTTGTGGAGGCGTTGCCTCGCCGGGTCGTGGCGTTGCCAGCCTCCTGCGCTGCGTGGAGTGCAGTAGGGAGTCCACGAAGGATGGCATCGTTGTTGGCTTTGGTGGAAGCCGGATCAGACTTCCATCCGTTGTTCCAACCCCAGCACCGAGTAAGAGCTATGAGTTGCTTGGAGGCTGTTCGGAACCCATGCCCCTCATTGGGGGGCACGCCCTGCATTCTCCGCAACTGATCCTCATGGACCTCCTGCAGCAGATAGATCGGGCCCAGGGTCTGTGTGAGATGCCAGCCAGGGGCCAAGCTGCGTCCTTGCGCCGTCGGGTGGAGGACCGGGTCACTGAGCAGGTCCTGGCGTACGATCTCATAGAGGGCGATGCAGAAGAAGAGATACTTCTCGTTGATGGCCCCCTGCGCATCCACATATTTGTGCTGAAAAGCATGGCGTAGTGCAGCAGTCATGAAAAATGCTGCCGTCGTCCCATGAGGATGCCTTGGAAAATGTGGTCTTTTTTCTGACCGATGGCCGTGAGGAAGTAATCAGGAGGGCCGCTGGCTCGCAAGGTATCAGCATCCCATCCATAGATTTGGGAGGCAAGGTCGGAGAGGAGTGGCTGTTCTCGCCACTCTGCCACGATGGAGGAGTGAAGCTCCTGCGGCGTGATCAGGAAGGCCGTCTTGATGTCGAGGTAGATGCCGCCGCGGAGCCAGTGTTCAACGTATCTGAAGACATCCGCGCGATGCGCGTTGCTTCGGAGCTTGGAGAGAAGGCGTTGCCCTGCTCCTCCAGTGACTGATCGGATCACTTCCGCGCATGCTTCGTCGTTGAAGAACTCGCGACGAAAGGTCCGGAACTTGTCCTCCGCCATTTCCTTAGGGCCAACCATTTCGTCATGAATGAAGGTCTGGACCAGGCGCTGCGGGATTGGGAACCTCCCATAGGGAGTACGGTCAGCCGGTACCGTAAGGCGGTACGTCTTCTCAATGGGGAAGTTGGCTTGGCTGGCCGCCACGATCAGCAACTCTCTCAGAGTGGAGGCTCGAATGAGCGCGTGGGTGGCCAACATCTCCTGATGTATCATGCCCTGAGTCGCGTTCCAGGAGCAGCACAGAAGGACTGGCAGAAAGGGTGGAGGAGTGTGCGGCGCCTGCTGCGCATCCCCTGGTCCCAGGCCACCCGCAAAAG